AGCTGAATCCATTTGCATGATTAACGATAGAAAAAAAGAAATAATATTCACAATAGAAACTATTTCATAAAAAGGAAAAATCATGGATGGTTTTTCAAATCTACTAATGGAGAATTAGTCAAAAGTTATATAAAACTTTGTGGTTCGACAAAACGTTTACTGCAAAAACTTAAGCTTTGGGGAAAAGTACTCTACGAGAATACTGATGTTACATGTAATCCTTGTGACGATACTGAACTACGTTCATGGAAAAAGTTAATGTTCAAGTTTCATTTTAATACCTTCGATTCTATTGATTTAAATACTGAAAATATTTTGTTTTCTTTTCATTTTTGTACTGAAAGGATCTTTTGTTATTTTGTTTGAACATTAGGATATATATATGCACGTGTGAGTAAGAGCATTGATATCTGATGTCAGAAATAACTTTCTTCACACTTATGGTCTAATTTTCAAACAACATAACAAAAATCTTTATTCGACAAAACGAAAGAAAAACGACAATTTTGTTCTTTCTTTTTATCTTATAAACTAATGCGATCAAAGACGACGAAATAAAGCTTGATACGGAATAGATATTACACTCTTAAATGTACCACTACATAGAGAATTTTTTTCACTCTCTCATATGCTATACAATACATTTTTTCCCATCAACATAATTGAATATTCTTTCAAGGACTTCGTGCAACACCAATATTCAAGTGTAATACTTTTCAAACTTTAAATTCTTGTACTAAAAGTTTTTCGAAGCACTAGATTTCGTGCAGCATTTGATAGACTCTTGTAGTATATTTAAACATTAATGCTGAAAAAATGTTGCTGATTTTTTATTCATACTATCATATTAAGATTCATTCTAGTGATATATGCATGGTATAATTATGTCAGAAAAGTGAATACTTTTGTAAACAAAATAGAAAGGTTTTATCCTGAATCCATGCTGTTTTTACGAAAAAAAAAGTCATACACTTCAAGAGAGTGGCCCATGTGTCTGATTTTAAAATCAATAAGTATGAAAAAAAAATTATGAGCGTGTCTGAAAAGTTTTTGATTTGACTACATGTATGACATTTATGAATCTATTCTAGAGTTTAAAATATCTCAGGTCAACATTTTATCCTCTAAATGAGTTAAATGTAGATATTAGACTTTCTGATTCAACTAATGCAAACAGTACAGCATATGGTTTGAAATCAATAACTGAAACATGTAAAAAAAAAACTTTATTCTATCTTTTTTTCAAACTATTAACTGTTTTTGTTTTTATCTCATTATCAAGAGATCCTATTAACGTTGACAGATAAAATTAAATGTCTTCTTAACTTATTGAAAAAGAAAATCAGAAGGTAATATTGTTTATATGTCGAAAGAAAATAATTCTAAATAGAAATGACTTCTTTTCGTATATATAGGAATGAGTATACGATATTATATAAAAATTTAATAAATTTATTTTCGATAATATTATTTTCACTTGATTTCATTCGTTTGTTATCGATCTTTAACAAAAATCTATATCTAATTGTAAAATAATATTGCAAGCTACCTTGTTTTTACGTAATCTAAAGTCAATTAATGTATTGATACCATTATGGAGTTAATATCACTAGCATGAAACCTAAATTTACTAAAATAATCGTTTTGTTGCTCTTGTTATCACTATACATAATAATGTTATTTCTTTTCCTGCTAAATATTACTCCTGTAATGCTTCTAATGACTATCATTTCACAGATTTTACAAAATATTTTTTTTGTTTCTATATTTATCGAAATGGATAATTAAATGAGACTGCTTAATACTCTCATTTCAAATTTTCATTATTTTTTTTGCTATAGTTCTAATTAATAAAGAAGAAAACTATGAATTGTGTGTGTTTTTCGAATATTGAAGATAAATCAGTAGCAAAGAATGAAAATGTATCTGGAGATGATGAAAAAACAATTGAACGATTTACTATAGAATTTTAACAATTAGTTCAAATAATCAACTCAATAACTTATCTTTAAAAAGTTTTTGTATAACAGGTTTAGCCAATTTTCGTTCAACTAGCTCTATGTCATTGGAGACTGTTTTAAATTCATTTCATAAATTTTATAATTTCAAATAATATACCATGTTCACACTGTCTAGTAGAAATCTTTCCTTGTCTTATCTTTCATACAGAGAAGAAGAAAAATAAATGAAATATACCGAGAGCATCAGTGTGAGGTGCACGGATATGTGAGTGATAGTATACAGTATTACAATCATACTCACATCCATCTACACCATGATAACAAGTCAAGTTTTTTTGAAAGATAGTGTTTTGCTGAAGGATGGTAGGATTGGTGGTTTAAAAAACTATTGTAGTTAAAGATAAATTTAATGACAGTATAGAAATAGAAATGAATTCAAAGAAGAAAAATCAGAAAACTTGTTAATAAAGAATCTCGAGTATTGAATAATCTATCGGAAATATTTAAAGAAGTTATTTTCTCATCTTCTCGTGAATATTTTATAAAACCAATAACAAAATTTGTTTGTGAAAAACAAATGATAATGAGAAAAAAAAATCTTATCATCAAAGGAAGTTTTCTTATAGTAGTGAGATTATTTGCCTATTTCAATAAAACTACATGTCAGTCAGTTTGTGAAAATAGTCATTAAAACTTTTCGAAAAAACGATTTTTTATAAGCCAAGATTTTTCTAGTAAAGAAAACCTTGTAAACAATTAAATAATGATTTATTGAAAGGAAAGAAAATAAAACCATTTTAAATCATATCGAAGAGAAAATGTTGAATTGAAACCTTTTCTGAAGACATTATTACTGCATATTTAAATTGTGTAGAGACCAAAAAAAATTCATATTCATATTAAGTATTTAAGAGAGATCGAGGAATAGCTAACTTCAACGGCGGAGACTTCACCTATCTTTTAAAGACTTGATGAGACTTTAGAAGATTTTTGCTACTGAACACGATTTTTTTAGAGATGGACTCGATTCATATTCGGGTGTGAGTGTGGGTCTGGTTATGCTGAGGGTGTGGGTGTGTGGGTGTGGGTGTCATTCCTCTCTTTACTCACACCTCCACACCCTGCTCATCTTCGAACTCAACCAAGATATTGTTAAGACTGAACTGTGTAGAAAATTTCATCGCAATCGGACTCTCCTTTCAAAAGTTATCGTGTAAACGGCCGGACACACTGATCGATTCTAGAGTGTACTCACTTTTTGAGTGCGCAAAAACATTAATTCAGAAATATAATGTTTTATAATGCGAGAAACAGTTTGCATCAGTCAAATTATGACTTTAAAGTTTCTCAAAACACCTCGGGACAACTATAACGATCCTTTCGTCTGCAAGAAAATTTTAGAAAAAAAAAGCGAAGCCATCAAGATGTGTGTGTATGAATGAAAAGAGAACTCACACACACATCCTATACCTACACCCAAATCCTAGTTTTCATCTTATCAGAGACACACAAAGAAGAGATATCAACTTTATTTTTCGACACTCAAAACAATGGAGTTCGCTTTGAGTATCAAATAATAAATGCTTCTTTTTGTTGGCCTCGAAACGAAAACAAAGAAAACTTATCTTATCATTCCTGTCTAAGCTAACAAGAGCAAGTAAAATAAGAGGTAGTCTATACAACAACTACAAAAAGTAGAAGAAGAAGATGACTACTGTGGATATCGCTTCTTTTTCGTCCGAAGTTCCATTCAGTTTATTCCTTCCTGATGCTAAACAACATTCAATCCATGATTTAAGTCAAGAGAATAAAGAATTCTTGTGGCATCAGCTTGTGGTCGATGTACTTTTCAATATTCCTCAGTCGTCATTCGATATAGATGATATCATTGAAGGTTGCAAACGCGTAAATACGAATGATCCTGATGATCCTATCAACATGCAACCAAAAGATATCGATCAATTTAAAGAAAAATATACATCGACTTCGGTTATCGAATGGTACACGAGTAGTTCATTTGTCTATCGTGCGCTAAACAAAGCCTGTCGAACGCTGAATAGTGATGCCATCGTTCGATTTCATCGTTTGATCAAAGATTTTCATCATGAATTACGATATTTACATATTCAACAGCAAAAAAATCAAAAACTTCAACTACCATTGACTGTTTATCGTGGGCAAACTAATTTTGGCAACAATGAATTCGATAAAATTCAAGCGAATATCGGGGGTATGATATCGATGAACACATTTTTATCAACAACATTGTCTTCTAAGATTGCCACTTTTTACTTTGCTGATAGCAAAAATACACCTGTGCTTTTTGAAATAACAGTCAATGATACATTAAATGACCAACAATTGGTGACATTTGCTAATATCAGTGAAATTAGCAAGATGAAAGATGAACAAGAAATTGTCTTTAGTATCGGCTCTGTATTCAAAATAATTTTTGTAGAGGATTGGGATACTTTCTACTCTGTTGGATTAGAATTAACCGATGTCAAACAAGATGGATGCGTACAAAAGCTTATAAATGAAGTAAAAAGTTATTTATATCAGATACCCAATCAACAATCATCAATCACCGCCTTGAGACAATTTCTAACAATTGATTCTCATAGTTATCCTAGGCCATTAATAGAATTAATGAAATTTTTTCTTATCGACGTCACAAAACGGTTTGTTATCAGTGCATGTAGAAAAGAAGGTCGAATAAAGCAACTTATTGAGAAGGAAAAGAATTTAAATGCGTTGGTTACACAGACAAATACCAATGTTATCTATCAGAATACAAGATCGATTTGTCACTTGTTTGATATTTTCGATGAATTTCTTTCTGCTGAAAATGATTACGAAGAGAAACAAAATCTATTTGAAAAAAATGAAAATATATCTTTACTTTGTTTCGGTGGATTTTTGATGCTCAGCGGTGATTGTCTGAAGAGTATTCAGTATATTGAAATTCTTTTACGGAATGAATCGATCGATGAAAAATTGAAACTCTTTCTACATGCAATATTAGTAACATCCTATGGTATGTTAAAAGAACATAAACAAGCGTCAGAATCTGTTCAGTTCATCTCCAATGCATTACAGTCATCGACCACAGATGGAATGGCTCCATGGCTTGCCACTTTTGTTGCTTCATCCCTTTTAATATTGAATGACTCCAAATCCCAGGTAAATGAAGTAGTAACAATGCTTGAACCAATAATTCATGAAGAACGATCACAAAAGGCGATCGATGAAAAACTACGTCTATTACACTTAGGTCACATTTGTTCTGATCAACAGAAATTTGTTGATGCACTCAACCATTGGGAAGAAGCCTTAGAAATCGAATGGGATATGCTTTCTGCAACAGAAATGATTTACAATGGAATTATTTACTTGCAAATGGCTGCCGTATATCTTAGAATGAACAATAAGACCCAATCTTTAAAAGCAATGGAAAAAGCAAAAACATCTCTGGAATATTACTATCCATCAACTCATCAAATGATTGCTGGTATGAATCTGATGTACGGATATTATCTCATGTTAAATGAAAAAACTGCTGAAGCGATTGATTTATTGACAAAATCACTGGAAAATTCGCATTTTTCAACAAATAAGGCTTTTCTTTGGGTCGTTCTCACTTTGTTAGCAGTTGCTTCTCTCCAAAATGGTGATATCAGTCGTGCAGAAAGCTTTTGTGATCAAGCTCGTGCATATCCAGTACCGGCGACTATTCCACTATCAGCTTTTGATCTTTGAAAAGCCATCAAACAGTTATAAGTCTTGGTCCCATTCGTCGGTAAAGATGTTTTTTATCAAGTAGTTCTCAATGGTATACGGCAAGGTCAACAAATACTTTCATCTATATCGCTTAATACGCATATGATTCCTACATTGATTGATGAAGAAACATGTTCCTATGAGAGATTCGTTGCCATTGCTGATCTCTTTCGTCATCGAAACGAGCATGAAAATGCAGAAATATATTATAGTAAAGCACTGGATAGGATGACACATGTTGACTGGAAACCTATGTGGAATGTATACAAAAAAATGATTAGAATGAACAACGATGGATGTCGTGACTATTTCATCGAACAATTTTCAAAATATTCTGATGACAATCCAGAACATTTAGAGATGATTGCTACATTACAAGTGATCCTCTATAAATTGAGTCTTGTTCAAAATGAATTTGAAAATGCGTTTAATTGTTTGATCAGTAGTGTAGTGATGAAGATATCATCATTTTATCGTCAAATGAATGTTGATCCTAAATGTATTTCCAGTCTATTTTATAATTTATTTCACCAAAATCAAATCGCGAAGATCGCTTCTGTATTAACACAATTGATTGAAAGGCATTCGACTGATTGGAAAACGTATATCCTACATTTTTTAACGAGATATTTTGTCTTGGACGATTTGATTCCAATCATTCGTCATCCTCAGCTTGATACTACTTTGGAGGAGATGAAATCGAAATATGATAATAATGAAGCATCGAAATCAATATTTCGTTTTCTCGAAACTTTAATCCAAATTGTTCGACAAAATATCATGCCATCCGAAACATCTACGCTCTCGTTTATTGATCAACTTCTGATACTTCTTAAAAAATTTAACGACAAAAATTCGTCTTTATATTATCTAATTGAAGCCTTGAAATCGCTGTGCATCAGTGATCATGAAAGTTTTCTATCCAATCTCAATTATTTTCGGTTACAAACACTCACTTTCGAGCATTATGAACACTTGCAAGGAAAGATATATCATTTCTTCTCTATGTTAGAAGAAAATCAACTATATGTATGCTTGGAAACCATCGCAAAAAATTTACCAACGTAATTATATTTCGTCGATTCATGTGTACCAAGATATCGTCTAAATTTTCTTGCCGATCTTTGTTGAAACTATTCCTTCAAAGACTTGGATCACTTTTGACAATGTAGTAACGATCAGATACCTTTTTTTGTAAAAGATAGCTGAACGAAAACAAAACATAATCGACATTGTGATACATTTTCATTTTTCATTGTTTCTGTTCATCCAGGGGTGTGGGTGTGGGTGTTGATAGTAGTTCTGTCATTCACTGACACCCACACCCTACAAAATATCGAAAAAATGTATAAAAAACGGTCTGTCATTCAGATGAAATTTTGATGAAAAGTAAGAAAATACGCTTAAAAATTAAAAGAACTCTATAGTTTTCGTGCGATTGAATAGACAAGTTTATTTGTTCAACATTAGGAGGTGGAAAGATAATCATTCGAATTATATTTTGAACTCTACATTTGAAGTTCTTCTATCTAGATCAGATGTCAGAACCAAAATTTCATCGGAATGACAGATCGTTTTCATGCATTTTTTCGATGTTTTTTAGAAATGACTGATTTTTAAATGATTTCGTCCTATACAAAATTGGAGGAAAAGGCGTTCCCTTATCTCTCGTTTCGAATGGTGAAAATCGCAGGGCCCTAGCTATCTTCGTTCAAAAGTTATAAGCATTCTGCCCGATGGCCTTTTTAAAATTCCGATAATAGTGATCAATGTATCTCAAATGTCATCATCAAACCAGAGAAAAAGAAATATTCAACAGATACAAATTACCAACTCGAAAGGATACCAACATAATGATATTTACAGTTAATGGATTTCTTTCTATTAACGACACTTTCCTTCAATTTAACCAACTCTTTGATTCAAACATTTTTTTTAAACTACTATGTCGTATATAATTTTTGTAACAAAGAGAGAATAAAAACAATAATAAAAAAATAACTATGATAAAACAAATACTTTTTGAATCTGTGACTATATGCTAATTATTTATTGCAAAGCTCTACTAATTCTAGTCATTGTGTTGTTTGTTATAATAAAAATCTAAATTTGAAATTCTTTTACAATAACTTATCACAGATATAAGATTGATTTAGCTCTAAGACATATCTTTCATCTCTTGTCAGTATTGACATATCGACTTCTTTAATCTTTTAAATATACATATCCCACTAAAACCTGCAAATTATGTGTGAAGATATCCTCTAGCCTATTATCCACATAAAAATGGATACTCTAGGATCTTGTCAGATTATATTAGACTTTAACTGAAAGCAAAAAGGAGATCTCATTAAAATCTAATTTCATCACATAATTTAATTTCAAATTAATTATTCAGAGAGCTAATAATAGCTGAGAGAAAAATTTTTACTTCTACTCCTCTTCTTATCAGTAAGATCTGCTCCAGTTACATATTTTAAAATAGTATATAAGTGGATGTTTCCATCATTGTTCATTGTATTTTCAGTACGATCAGAAATAACACTAGAAAAGGCGCTATGTTATCTATTTAGTTTTGGTTCAACACGATACTTAGAGATACGAAGTGTCTCATTTGATTCATAATATAAAAGTGACAAATACTGAACACTACATTGTAAGTTTAGGAAAAGAATAAAATTTTATTTTGTTCATTTATTATTTATGTGAATCAAATTCGAATAAAATTAAGACTAAAAGAATGTGTTGACCGTTCAAAAATATTCGCAAAAACCGTTTCAAAGAAAGTAAAAAAAGTTATCAAGGGTCACAGTGGTCTGAATGAAAATGAGGGAAAAACTGAGTTATTTACGTGGTAGAGACTATACTTCTATTGCACTGACGTGAGATGTATCAACAAGTTCTAATCTGACGTTTACGAAAAATAATTTTTTTTCTTTAGTTTTTTACTATATCTATGAGACAGTCGTCACTTGAACCATAATTATGATAGCTACGAGAGTTTGGTCCTTAGCTACTAAGGCGTCGCTGAAATATTGAAAATTCGACTTTTGTTCGAATTCGATTCCTGCATCTAGTCGTTAAGAAACAAAATACATTAATCACATGTATTACCCAACCTTATCGTGATATTGAATTCACATCGTACAAGACTATATTTATCAAAGAGAGTATTTGATCTGAGGAAAAGAGATTGGCTCGTCTGACGCATTCTTCATATCAGCGTCACAACATGGGAGCGCCATGCACCTCTGACTGTGTTGAAAATCCATCTTTATTTTATGATGCGAACTTAATTCTTGTTTTTTTAAGCTTACAGTGAAGTATTCTTGATTTATCATTTTTATAATAGATCATAAATTAATGAAAACAAACTTTTATTTTTTTTTCGAAATTAGGGCGTTCTTAATATTTTTTGGCTTCATTTATAGTATATTTCGAACTAGGCAGCTACTTTATGTCGAGTAGATTGAAGTTGTATATCATTCTTTATATTATTATCATTAAGTTTCTCTTCATCCAGTGAATAATCTGTTTTTTAGAAAGCTATCCAACTGTGACATTAAAAAATATCTACTATGGTTGACTATGATTTAGTGAACACTCGTCTTATAATTGTCATTACACCAATTCAAATTATACTTGGAGTTTTAACAAATATATTCAATATTATTATTCTTTCACGACGATCCTTATTACGAGCATCACCATGTACTCACTATTTTCTTGCAATAGCCGTTACTTCTATCCTTTATGTGATTGTAGGATCAGGATCTCAATTGGCTCAAAGATATTTCATGGTCAACCTGCAAAGCACTATTATCGGCTGCAAATTAATACCGTATATTCTTACAGTGATAACATGTTATGTAAGTATATTCCTGACACTTGCTGCATGTGATCGTTTTTGTCAATCATCAACATTAGTTTACATGCGTCGCTGGAGTTCAGTGAGTATCGCTCGTCGAGCTATCATCGGCATAGTCATAATATTACCTATCATACTCAGTCCAACAATGATCATATGGTATATCAACGATGACTATGGTGGTATTTGTTTGTCATATACCGACACTGGTGCTACAGTTATAGTCATAGTACAAACCATTATCGCAGATTATGTGCCACCATTGATGATGACCGTTTTCGGTCTACTCACAATTCGAAATATTCATAGTGAGAGAAAGCGAGTGATGCCTATGGTTAGTGGTGTCGCTCGACAGCGTCGTACTGAAATTCAATTAGCAAAAATGTTATTATGGCAAGTACTTGATTATATCATCTTTTTCTTACCTATTGCTGTCACATATACATTGGTTGTAGTCAAATCTAACATGCA